CAGTGATGGGCAAACTTTTTAAAGAGCGGGCCAAAGGAAAAGAAGAAAACTTTAGGCGGGCCAATATAATTGTAACCTAGCGCTGCATCTGAAAATCCAGGTGGCGCTATAAAAACATGTGCAGGCCGTCCGCCATATTTCTTTTTCTCTCTTTCGGCTACGCTACGCACGACGAGTGGATGTTCTGTACCGAAGCATGCTTGTAACCGATCGAGCTTTTACTCAACAAGTGTAAAACAAAATTTTGTACATGATTGTAAATAAACTTTCGTGGTGAGATATAAAGCTTCGGTTATTTTATATAATCAACGAACACTCAAGTTAAGTGGTGAATCAACCACCACAGCCTGTATTCTTTTTTACTCGTCAGATTAGGAATAATGTCGCGCGGGCCGGATAGAACATTTCAGGGGGCCGCATCTGGCACGCGGGCCGTAGTTTGCCCATCACTGCCCTAGGCAGATCACCCAAGTGCCGTGTTGCCATAACTTAACAAACGACAACAACTAGAATAATGCACGATGATGTCATTAAGAATGTGTAGTGTGAATGTGACTAATGAGACTTCTGTTTCTCTTTCCCTAAATATTGGCATTCTCTTGAGAGCCATACTTTGGGATTTTCCTATTTCTTGATGTCTTTTGCCTCATAACTTTGTCTTTCTGTTACAGATCTGTAGCTCTTGTGGATGATGCGGGCCGTCTCCGGAGTTTTCGGCACTTTGTGGGATCTCGAGCTGTCATTGATGAGTGGAAATCTTGATTTCTACTGCTCCTTGCCTTCTACCTATGCTTACGGGGATGTCATTCTCTGATATCCCTGTAAGCACAAGTGTTAAGATCTTAGGTTTATACTTTAGTGCAAATATGCACAAAGAAAGCCTAAGAGAGATAATCTAAGGGACCAGATTTTTATATGAATAGTAGAATAGCTGTTTACAAGACTTTCTTGTTGATATTTATGTTTATTATGCTTCAGTTTATGACCTGTAAGCAGTCTTTGGTTATATAAAGCTTCTTTTACTGTTATGTTTGAAGAAGCAGATCTGAATGGGTGATTAAGAGATAAGATGTATAATTGTAAGAGATACAATGTATAATAGTAAGAGTGGATGGGTTGTATTTTAGCTCATATTTTTTCTGCTGTCCAGATTATTATTAGATCTTGCTCAATTATCAAGTGAATTTGATGCCTAAGGTGATCCATCTACCTGTTATTGAGTTTTGTGCACACACCTGCTTAGTCTCAGTCAATTGAACAACTTTCCTTCAGTTAAAACTAGAATTTCTGAAATTTACTGGCATCTTACTTTTCTCTGCAACTGTTAAACTTACTGTTATTACAGTCTGGTTCATAGTTTGGTGCAGATGTTTTGATAGGCTAGTGTCGGAACACTGCATTGAACTGCAGTAAGTGAACTATACAATGCTCCACTAGGAATAAGCTCCAGTTTATTGGAGTTTATGAGAGAGTAAACTGTCCAAATGTGACTCCACCAGAAATTGCAGCACATCTCTTCTATTTGTGTAAGGTGGCCAGGAAACTTTAGAGCTAGGTAAGCTTGTCTGTCAGATAAGAATATTGTTTTCATTCTGTTTAGCAGATGTGATGCATTTGATGTGGTTAACCTCCTCCACTTGGTTAAGCATGAGTTGTGACTGACCAGGAAAAGGAATGTATTCAAGAATTGAATCACTACCCACCAACTTTTTCATATCAAAATCTGATAATCTTTAGTTCTCAAGTTACTCTGGACTTCTGGTCTTTGTAACAGGCAATTTTTCTAAGTGGGACACCCCCAATCAGGTTCTATGGACCTGAGTTGGACAGAAAACTATTGATATCTTAATGTCTTAATTATTTCTGCTTTAGTACACTTTAAGGATAGTGATAGGATAAGAAAGTTTTTAGGGATAGTAATAAGATTAGGTTAATATCTGTCTTATCATTTGTCTTCATCACTAAAGTTTTAGTTTTTTCCTCATACCATTGTGAAACTTTTAGCCAATTTATCCTCTTGTAATTTTATCCTGACACTCATCCATCTAATTACCATCATCAAGTGGTGAGAGGAAAATTGAAGGGACTGTCGTCACCTTAAGTCAGCTCTCATTCTTCAGTCTTTAGGTTAGTCTTAATTTTATGGACAAAGTTTGTTTCTGTCCATCTGTTCAGAAAATTCTGTTACCTAACAGCTGGAGAAAGACAACTGTCTCACATCTGTCATTGTTAAACCTTGCTTTGTGTAAGCATGACGAGTTTGCCTCTTGTCTCTTATCCTTTTAGCACAAAACCTTGTTAATATTATAAAAGTTTGTTTGTTGGGAGGGTACTGGTTTGTGATCAGTAGTTTTGCAGGATGCTAGGAACAGTCATTCCTGGAAATAACTTTGAAATCCCTCATTTAACTTCTATGAGATTAGTAATGCTTATTATTACTGTCATCAAATTATCAATAATGTAACATAAACAACAGTTCTCTTTGCTTAGGAATTTGAAGTAATTCATGTGCTTAAGAAGAAATGTTATTTAGATTCAATTCTTATTGCAAAAAATTACTTAATGTAAGCAATAAAGTGGTTAAAGGTAAATTTGCTTAAATTAATTTCACTATTTTGTATAAGGTTTTTAAATATATTGATTGAAATTTATCAAATAGATAGGGTAAAATGCTGGCGAAATTGTTGCAGTTCCACTTCCTTACCAGAAATTATGAAAGAATTTTCGAAGTATTCTGGAGGACAGATAAAACTATTACAAGATGATGATTATGGTATTGCTTACTTATGCTTAGATAATCCTGACAAAAGAAATGCTCTTACAGGTCAGTTATTTTCTTAATTTATAATGATAATTCTTCTTATGCTAATCAAATTTCTTAAAAAATTCTATATTTACTTTCTACAAAAAACATCTTATTCTCCTTTTTTATTATCCATTTATATTGGGGGTTGAATCGTAGTCTGATCATCTACTTTTATCCCTTCCATTCTGTCATTCTTCCTTGAATACCTTATTCACAATAACATTTTTCCCTATTATATTATTTGCTTCTAACACTTTTATCTATGGTCTTTCTTTAGATTCCCTGACTGTTTAATCGGTTTCTTATTAGAAGCCAATTAAACAGTCAAGTCATACTTTTAAGTCTATTCTGTTTGTATGTACCAGTCCATTTCAAAATTATAAGCACATCCAACTTTTTTCAATAACAAAACATTAATAGTAATGTATTTATTATATTGGTATGTTGTCAATGTATGTAGTATGTGTATATTTGTTATATTAATATGGATTCAAAGGACATAACACTTTGGTTTATTCATTGAAAAAAACCCATTTTAAGTGGTATAAAAATGACTAATTATATCTGGCAAGTATTGCTATTTTTAGAATAGTATTAGATTTATGTTTTGCTTGATTTTGTCATTTGCTTATTATTACTTACAAGCAAATCCTAATGTTATTCTAACCTAATCCTAATGTTAACTGTACTTCAAACAGAATAACTAAAATAACGTTAAAACTGTAATCCTTACATTCAATATCAGATAAACACCTTGAAAGTAACCATTTGAAATATGTTTACCTGACATGGAATATAATGAATTCTTTAAGTAAAAAGTTTTATATATATTATTTTGTATAAAACTATATATTTTTTATTACTTTAAAAATTATAACTGTATTACAGACTAGGCCAGGAATGGCCAACAGTTTTTGCCCCCGGGCCGAATTGGAAAGAGAACTTTTTTCATGGGCCGAACCAGAGGCTGCGCGAGCAAGATTTTGAGGTAGTACGATATCTCATTGTGGTGTCACCCTGTAGAGACTAAATTGCACATAGAGATTACAGATACATTTTTCACATTATCATGCATTATCAATATTCTACACTGTGCTGAAGACATTTGTAATGGAGCATTAACTCTAAACGCACTGTTAGTTGTTGACCTTTGTTTTTTTTTTAGGCAATAGGCATTAGAATTTTTCGTCAATATATTCAGACTTAAGTAGCTAATATTGAAAGATTAATCGCGGGTCACAAATTCATTAGACGGGCCATGTGTTGGCCATGCCTGGAATAGGCTATTTGCAAAAAAAATGACATTTTATATAAGGTGCAGGCTTTATTGTTAGACTATATATAAATATAAAAAGACTAACATATACAGTATTATCATCTGTCTGTGTTAGGAAAAAATAACTTATTTTGCAAGTACTTTTGACAGTCTAAAACTGTCCCTTTCAGGCGGAATCATTATTGGAGATTCCAGAGAACAAGACATTTGAATTCAAGAAAAAGAATTTAAACGTCAATGTTTTCTCAAAATTGTTCCAAACACACATGGAAATGTAAATTATACATGTACAGTTAACAAAAATTATACATTAATTATTTAATACAAAATACGTTGAAATGTAAAATAAAACATCAAGAATAAATGAATTAAAATAAAGTACATAAATAATAATGAATTAAATTGTCAATAAACAAAAACATAAGCTGTTTAGCCTTCTAAGGTTCTAAATCACATAGTTCCCATAAAACACCTTGTAGTGATAGTAGCACCACTATATGTTTGTTTTTGTATATTGACTATTTAATTCATTATTATATTTGTACTTTATTTTAATCTATTTACTCTTGATGTTACATTTCATTGTAGTTTGTATTAATGTATTGATATAATTTTGTTAACTGTACATGCATAATTTACATTTCCATGCATGTGCAGGACAAACAATTTTGAGAAAACATTGCTCTTTGGATTCTTTTTCTTGAATTCAAATGTCTTGTTCTCTGGAATTTCTATTAACGATTCTGCCTGAAAAGGACAGTTTTAGACTGTCGAAAGTAGCTGCAAAATAAGTTATTTTTCGTAACGCCGACAGACAGTGATATATATTAGTCTTTTTATATTAATATTTGGCATATGAAGCTGTTTAAAACTTTTTTAATATATAAATAAAATTAGAATTTATCTTAAAATCTAATCTAGTNCCTCACAGTCAAGCTTCGGTTTTCACTTCTATAATATAATAAATGTTATTTGTTGGATGTTGTTTAAAAATTGTAACTGCAATACGAAATTATATCCAGATCTTTCTTTTTCTTTGTAGTTAGCCTTTAATTGGAGCACCTCACAGTCAAGCTTCGGTTTTCACTTCTATAATATAATAAATCTTATTTGTTGGATGTTGTTTAAAAATTGTAACTACAATATGAAATCATTAATAAAGGGTTTTGGCTGGTGAAAATAATATTGTTCTGTTTATGTTTATACACGGCAACGCCACACGTGGGCGATCTGTCAAGGAGGAAGCCTTTCGTAGGTCTTTTATGGGAAACTGTCCCTTATTTAGGTGTTATTAACGTAAAGAAAACCCGGTGGCCCGTTAGTCGACTGGTTATATTAACCCGGCCACTGTGGGCTTCGTGTTTGTTCGGAGTTCTCGAGTCTCGAGTTTGCAAATTGACCACAAAATCTTTAATATTGGATTTCTGCTCCCATTCTGCTCTTAAAAGAACACGGTGGTCGTCTTTAACGTCTCGAATACGAACAATTTCTATAATTCCCATATCATCGCGTAACGTTGTTAATCGATGCAAAGTCGAGTAACGTTACACGGAATTAACCTTAGCACAGATAATTTACATACAAATTAGTCGGTTGGTGCAAGATGTTCGGATGCCTTCTAACTATAGGCTAATAATTAAAATAATTTATTGTCGACACTGCATGAAAGGAGATAGCATCCTCCGGCATATACGCTGGGAGGGTGGGTTTACGTGTGCCAATACTCTCTTATGGAGAAATATCGTTATGAGAAAAAACCGTAACTACAGTGTGGCAATAAATGGGTCCACCGCAATATACTTTTGAATTTATTCCAAAGAATATTCTAAATTAATTAGATAAACGTTTTAAGCACTTCATTGCTGAATTTCCGACAAACTTTTGCGCTGGATTAGTATAAATTTCGACAGTAACGGCTCCGTCTCACCCCGATATAGTAACAAACTTTTAGATTTTTTGAAAAAGCGTGATGTAAAAATATATAATTTAAAATTCACGAAACTTTAGAATAAGAATGAAACCTCTTGAAAATAAAGCGACCGCATGGTATGGGACGGGGTCCGATTAACAATGCTCGCAGCTTCGCTTTTATTTTTTTAAAAGTAATTATAGAAATTTCGTTTTTATTATATTTTGCGCTGTATTATTTGTATTTTTGAAAATATATATCAAAATTTTTGATAAAATTTGCTGATTATTCTAATTCAAGGTCCTAGATTATAATTTACGTCAGTTGGCAACACTTATACACTTCTGTTAATTTAAAAGATGGCTGATAACACGTGATCTAATATGAACCAGGGGGTACAGTGGCTAGAAAATATAGTGTCGAAATCGAGCTTATTTTCTGCCCCTATATTGGAGGTTGCCGCAAGAGGCGCTGCTGTCAATCGTTGCGCAACACAGGCTGTATCATCCCATGTTTATATTGGTTTTAAGTGGGATTTTTAAGCATAGTAAATGTGCTGTAGCCAAGTAAAAGAATTTAGATCGATAATAAATCATATCACTAGCAATCAATTATTATATAGTATTACTTTATTAACATTTATGAAGGAATTCATTTTATTAAAGCTAATTAAGATTCTTATTAAATCAAATAGCCTACACTGTATTGTCTATTTTTACATTACAGCTGTTGAGTGCTGTACAAACAAGTATTATTTAGAGTACAAGAGTAATCTACTCTTGTTATTACCTTATTAACAACAAGGTTTATTCATATTTACTAAAAAAATACAGAATTTATCATATTTTTAATAATAAAATGTAAGTTTTATATGGCTTTGTGAACCTCTTCCACTGTGAGGGCCTAAAATAGAATTTATTAAGCAAATGCCATCAGTTACATAATACTGTATACTGTTCACAGTATTATGTGACATAGTATAAAGCAATATTAAAATTACAATTAAATTCTACACAGTATATAAA